GTTTGGTGGTTGTCTTTGTTTGTTTTCAGTGGAGTCAAAGACAAATGAAGAATTAATTGAAATGCTGAGAGAAGTTGACAGCGCGCGGGTGTGGGGCTTTGCTGCATGCATGTTGCTGCTGCTGCTGCTGAGGTGTACAGACAGCAGCAGGGCGCAAAAAACTTTTCTCTTTTTCTTTTAATTGACATTTTTTATTTTCTTTTGCTGCTGCTTCTTCAGGCGCAGCAGCTGCACCCCAACGACAGGCGAAGAATCATCAGGAGCATTCAAGTTAGCAGCAAATGCATGCGCTCTTGCGGCTTTGCTGCTGCTGCTGCTGCTGCTACTGCTGCTGCTTCTGCTGCTGCTGCGGCTGCTGCAGGTAGTGCCGCTGTTGCTGCTGCCGCTATGTTGCTGCTGCCGCTATATTCCTGCTGCTGCTAAACTGCTGCTGGTGCAACGAGTTCAGCTGCTTGCTAGCTGCTGCTGCTGCTGCTGCTGCTGCTGGCCTTGCTGAATTTGTTTAGGGGCGACGCTCGAGTGTCTGGGCAGCTGCCAGCCTTTTTGCTTCGAAGGGCAGCAATTAATTTGTTATATTTCATAATGATTAAATTTAGATAAATAATTAAATCAATTAATTAATTTATTTATTTTTTTATTTTTTTATTCCTTTTATTTGCAGGTTTCAAAACAATTTGGAATGCCCCACAGCGAGCTGATGCGGGCGCACAAATCGCAGCAGCTGCGGTAATTAAAAAAAAACAAGAAAAAAATAAATTAATTTAATCTTAAAATGGGGCTGCATGCGCTGCAAAACAAAAGAAATTTGCTGCAGTTAATAGAGTGCATATGCATGCATGCATGCATGCATGCATGCATGCATGCATGCATGCATGCATGCATGCGTTTGTCTCTGTTTAATTTAGACGCTTTTCCCCTTTTTAGTTTTCGGCTTTCGCCAATTGCTGCTGCTTCAAACTGGCCCTCTCAGGTTACACCTGCACGCATAATTGCGTGCATGCATGCAATTATGCATGCATAATTGCATGCATAATTGCATGCATGCACAATTGAATACATAGTTGCATGCATAATTTCGTGCATAATTGCGTGTCTAATTCTTTGCACACTTCCGTGCATGATTGCATGCATAATTGCATGCATACAGTTAGAGCGGTAAACTGGTTTCTTGCTGCGGGCGTTGGGGTGTATGTACAGCTACGACGCATGCATTTTGTGGCTGGATGTGAGGGATAGAGAAGTTTTGGAAAACAGATTAAGACGGAGACTTCTGGAGATGTGTAAAGTGCGTTTGAGAGGCAACAAATAAAATGAATTAAAATTAAAATTATTTAATTGATTCATTTATTTTAATTCAAATTCGATAAAATTGACACAAAAGTTGCCAAAAAAACATTTTCTCGCACGCTTCAAACGCCACAAGCATTTGTATCCCAATCTGCCTTTATATTTATATATTATATTTATATTTATATTTATATTTACATTTATATATACATTAAGATTTGTATTTACATTTATATTTATATTTCTATTTTCATTTTTAATTATGTTTAAATCCACCCTAAAAGCCTCT